CTAAATATACCTGAAATACTATTTTGACGTACTTTACGTTGTTATTTGACAATTGCCCTACCATCATGCTTTAGGAAAATGAACTCACCTTCTAAAAGGGTAATCCAAACATTTAAGCAGGAGGTACCAATTTCCTACGCGTCAAGGTACATAGACACTATCATAGTGTGACAAACTTGCTGTGGCGCTGCGTTTTTCAACCTTGGTGTCATCAAGGACATTATACTACGTAAAATGTCCTTGGTGTCATTATGACGTCATCCAACTGTAAAAGGACACACCCAGTCTTCTGATTTACAAATTGTATTAAATTACTGTTTTTTCGGCATATTCCTGCATACTTTGTGGCATTAAAGAAAGAATGACATTTTTTCCCGTTTTATTTTAAGACAGGTCATATCAACGCTCTAAGTCATGACATCATTATAACAGAGAAAAAAGCGGCGAGCAGTATACATTCTACTGTTACCAAGACACCTACAATCAAAATCCATCAACTGGGTACCACAAAACAAAACAAAATTAAAGCAGCAGACAAGGAAAACCTGGTGCAGGACATTTTTAAACTAATCCTCTGGGAGAAAAGCGACAGCAAATGTCAATAGAAGTACACTGTGCCCGATGTACCAGATCGAACACAGCACGGTTTATGACAAATGGTAAGAAATAAGTTTAATCCAGCGATATCATTCAATAGTCCCCAAGAGATAAAATATGTGTTTGAATACGCAGCAGGGCAATTTACTGTGCAATGAACTGTACGATTCAACGTGACCTTTATGAACTAACGTATACGAAACTTGCAAATACTTCAATACCCTCTAAACACAGCTGTAAGAATTTCACACCTGTTCCGGGGTGGAATGACGTTGTTAAAGCTTCGGCATTATCGAAAATCCTAGAGGCACTACTGCTTAATCGTCTGAAGCCTTTTCTTCTGACGTCTGATTCTCAATTTGGCTTTAAACCTAAACATGGGACTGACATGTGTGTTTTTATGTTAAAACAAATTATCGAGTACTACAGGGGGTTAGGGTCCCATGTCTTTGTGTGCTTTATGGATGCCTCTATGGCCTTTGATCGCGTAAACCACTGGACACTGTTTAGAAAGTTGATCGACAGAAATGTTCCACTATATCTAGTTCGATTCTTGGTTTCCTGGTATACGAATCAAAGAATGTTTGTGAGATGGGGTGCAGTCCTTTCCCCCAGCTTTTCCGTTACTAACGGAGTGCGACAAGGTAGTTTACTGTCCCCATATCTTTTTAATGTATATATAGATGATTTGAGTGTAAGCTTAAACAATGCCAAGGTGGGCTGATATGTAAATGGGTCCATTACCAACCACCTGTTTTATGCTGATGACTTATGCCTGATTTGCCCTAGCATTAAATCTCTACAGAGATTGGTAGGGATTTGTGAAGTGGTTGGCCATGGTAGTGACATGTTGTTTAATACTAATAAGACTTTCTGTATGTATTTCCCATGTACTCGTTTGCCACTTCAGCTTCCATTGCCACCTGTAAGTCTATACGGTACCAACCAGAAGTATGTAAACTCATTTGTCTATTTGGGTATACATCTAAATACCACATTAAGTGACGATGATTGTGTACTTGCTCTGCTGAAGAGTCTTTATAGCCGTGCAAACAGTATCAATTGCACATTTTTCTGTTGCTCTCCATCCAACCTTGTAGACCAAAACAGATAAGCAGTAACACCACATGAAGTTTATCCTTGAAGATAGATAAGTGGTAGCGCACCAAAGAGTGTGTCCCTGAAGATCAGAGCAGATAAGCAGTAACGCCACCAAACTACGTGTTACTGAAGATTAGAAAAGATAAGCGGTAACGCACAAAAGAGTATATCCCTGAAGGTCAGAACAGAAAACAGCACCAGAGTGCGTGTCCCTGAAGATCAAAACGAGATAAGTGGTAA